TGGTAGCCATTGGGATAGCTTCTTACCCTTAGCGGAATTTTCATACAATAATAGCTATCACTCGAGCATTGATATGGCTCCATTTGAAGCATTGTATGGTAGGAGATGTAGGTCTCCCATTGGTTGGTTTGATTTATTCGAGGTTAGACCTTGGGGTACTGACCTTTTGAGGGATTCGATAGAGAAAGTGAAGTCTATTCAAGAAAAGCTTCTAGCGGCGCAAAGTAGACAAAAAGAATATGCAGATCGAAAGGTTAGAGACTTAGAGTTCATGGAAGGTGAACAAGTCTTGTTGAAGGTTTCACCAATGAAAGGGGTGATGCGATTTGGTAAGCGAGGTAAACTTAGCCCAAGGTATATTGGTCCATTTGAAGTACTTAAGTGAGTAGGGTAGGTGGCTTATGAGTTAGCCTTGCCTCCAGGGCTGTCCGGAGTGCATCCGGTATTCCATGTGTCTATGTTGAAAAGATATCATGGGGATGGAAATTACATTTTCCGTTGGGATTCAGTTTTGCTTGATGAGAATTTGTCTTATGAGGAGGAACCTGTTGCCATTCTAGATAGAGAAATTCGCAAGTTGAGATCAAGGGAGATTGCATCCATCAAAGTTCAATGGAAGAATCGACCTGTTGAAGAAGCCACTTGGGAGAAGGAGGCGGATATGCGAGAAAAATACCCATATCTGTTTACAGATTCAGGTACTCCTTTTCGCTCTTGTTTTCCTTCTTGTGATCGTTCGGGGACGAACGATGGGTAAATTGGTATCTATTGTAACGACTTGTTTAGTCGTTTTGAGCAGCAGATTTTATTTTTGGAAAAACAGGCTGAGGCGACGGATCCCACGACGGACCGTCATGGGCACGACGGACCGTCGAGGGTGTCTCGTCCCAAAACACTTAGAAATTCTAAAATTTGGGTGCTGAAATCGACTCTCTGAACTTTGTAACGAAATGGCAGGACGGACCGTCATAGGTGTGACGGACCGTCACAGACCCTTGGTGGAAATTTGGGTCTCTGAACTTTGCGACGACCTGCAGGACGGACCGTCGCAGGCACGACGGCCCGTCACAGGTTGCGCAATCCCAGTCCGGGTCGGATTTCTTGATACGTTTTAAGGGACGTTTTTGACTATTCTTGCCTTAATTATAAAGTTAGTGGGTTAATGTTAATAAGTCTAATTACTTGGGGGTTAAAAGAGGTAACCTTAAGTTAATTAGTGGGGCATTATTGCCATCTTTTATCCTTAATTATACACTAATTAGGGTAAAAGAAAGAGGGTTTGAATAAAGAAAATAGAAAGAACAAGAGAAAAAGAGAGAAAGTTGAACGAGAAAGAGGAGAAACAAAGAGTACACAAAGCTTTGGGAATTTGCTTGCTTGATTTCTAATCTTCGGTGGAGGTAGGTTATGGTTTTCATGCTTTCATAGTAAACTCTTAATAGAGAATGATATGTATTGATAGTATTGTAAACCCTGCTATGTGCTTAATTGTATGCATGCATGAACGTGATTATATAATTGTGATTATATTAAGCATGATGAAGTTATTGAATCCCAAATCTTGATAAAAACCTAATCTCTTTTTAATGATGATGCCTTGGTAAGGGAGAAGGCTTGATGAACTAAAGTAATGAGATTGATGATGCCTTGGTAAGAAAGAAGGCTTGATGAATTGATGGAAGGAGATTAGGGGATCGGGTGTCACGAACTGACACGTAGAATTAGGGGATCGGGTGTCACGAACCGACACGTAGAATTAGGGGATCGGGTGTCACGAACCGACACGTAGAATTAGGGGATCGGGTGTCATGAACCGACACGTAGTATTAGGGGATCGGGAGTCACGAACCAACACGTAGAATTAGGGGATCGGGTGTCACGAACCGACACGTAGTATTAGGGGATCGGGTGTCACGAACCGACGCATAGTATTAGGGGATCGGGTGTCACGAACTGACACGTAGTATTGGGGGATCGGGTGTCACGAACCGACACATAGATTTAGGGGATCGGAGTGTCACGTACCGACACAAGAGGATTAATGAATATTGAGGGAGCGGAGTGTCACGTACCGACACAAGAGAAATAAAGATAATGAATCTTGAAAGATGTTAATATACTCAATCTAATGAACATGATTCCCACATGAGTATGGTATTGAGGCTTGAGCCCTCATATGTGAACTTGATGGTAATTGTTAATGATATAGTATTTTTTGTTGCTACATGTTGTGTATCATAGTTGATTTCATGATATTACTTGGTATATATTGATTTCTATTTTGAGTTGGCCGATGATATCTACTCAGTACCCGTTTTTTGTACTGACCCTACTTTTATGTTTTCTTCTTGTTTATTTGTGGAGTGCAGCAAACGTGCCATCGTCTTCAACTCAACAGTAATTCAAGCCAGTCTTACTACATCGGAAATTCAGGGTGAGCTAATGCTTCTAGCTTGGACTGGATCTTCTTCTTCAAGTCTTGATGCCTTGAACTTCCGGCATGGACTAGCTTCTTATGTATTTTTAGCTTTTAGAATACTCTTAGTTTAGTTATTTGATCGTAGATGTTCTTGTGATGATGACTTCCAGATTTTGGGGAATAATAGATGTTGAATTTTATAAGTTAATAAATTGGTCCTTATTTAATGAGTTTAAGTCTTCCGCATTACTTTCTGTTGATATTATATTGAAATGTTAAGGATAGATTGGTTGGTTCGCTCACATAGGAGGGTAAGTGTGGGTGCCAGTCGCAACCCGGTTTGGGTCGTGACAAATTAATACAAATGATTTTTATGATTATTTTTAATTTGTTGGAATAAATGTCAATTATTATGGAAAGGAAGAAATGTGATGTTTATGGCAACATATAACTTCTGTTGTACAAACACCACATAAGATATCTGCATGTGCACCAACAGAAAGGATACATGTGGCAACATATTTCACAGAAAGAAAAAATATGGTAACATATGTCACAGAAAGGATATATATGACAACATTATACTATATTAAATATGCCATAGAAAGGAGGTATGTGCCCCAGCAAAACGTATATATGTGGTAACATATGCCACACTTTGAATTGTCAAAATTCAAAAAAAAAAACTAAAACTACTTTAAGACAATTGTCCCTTCATTTTCCCTCTCTCCTCTCTCCTCCTCTTTTCTATAAAAGTCATTTCATATTCCATATTTAACTTATTTTTACTAATTTTCGTTTTCGTTTTTCTTGTTTCCTTTTTTTCTCCTCGTCTCGTTCCATTATTCCTTCACATATCGAGGTTGTTGTTGCAATATTTTCTACAACATCAATGGTAATCTATTGTGATCCTCTTCTATAACAAGGTGTCGTTGTCCTCATCATTTCTAGTTTATTTTGATATCTTCTCATGTTATATTTAATTAGGATTTGAAATGCTTACTTTGTTTGCCCTGTGTTTTATCACTTTTTTTGTTGGGTAGTTATGTTTTTTGAAATATTTTATGATTTCAAAAAGCTTCATTTGTAGTCCGTTTGATAGGGTTTAGGGAAGGTTTTGTGATTTATTTGTTGGCTCATGTGTGACATTGAATTGTATTTGATGTTTGTGTTATTGTGTATTATGTTGTGTATTTCAAAAAGTTATGCTTCATTTTTACGTCAGGTGTGACATTCAAATATTTTATTTTTGTGATTGCAGATACAAATATAATGACTCCTGTCAAAAGAAAAATTGATAAAACTGACACAACAAAGATCCATAAAAAGGTTATGACTAAAATTTCTAGGAAGAAGAATGAATATATCACTCTTTTAGAAGACTTGCATCTGAAGTAATTTCTTCTTCTCAAGCAGAAACAAATATAGTTAAAAAGAATATGAAGAAAGAGAAAAAGAAAAAAATGAATTTGTTGATGATGGAGAAAGATCATAAGAAGTTGAGGAGGAAGATAAAGGAGAAAATAGAGAAGTAGTTAAAGAAGAAAGGGAAAAACAAACATAAGTGGAGGAAGAACAAGAAAAAAAGTATAGAAGTAGTTGAGAAAGAAGAAGGGAAAAATAGAGAAATAGTTGAGGAAGAAGAAGGAAAAAAAGAGAGAAGTAGTTGTGCATGAAGAAGAAGAAGAAAAAAACTAAGTTGAGGATAATGGTGGAATCAAAATTATTAATGCAGACACTTTCTCTGTTCATCTGCAGCCTAATGGTAGTAGTGATAACATTATGAGGCCAGGCATGGAAAACCTTTCAACACCTTTAGAGTCATCCTTAAGAAAAATTGTTTGAAATATTTTTATAGGGATAGTTGTTTCGATCATTTCTTGATTTAGCCGAGAATAATAATGCACGTTTTCAAATGATTATGGTTCATGAACTTCTGAAAAGAAGGTTCATTTTTCAAAATCCCAAAAAGAAGGAAGACGTTTTGATTAATTATTGTGGCATGCCAGTCTTCTTTGGCACAAGAGAGTTCTACATAGTTTTAGGGTTAAAATGTCATCCTCCTTCTAAGCCCGTCCCCGAATACATTGTTAAAAAAGAACCACATAGAAGAAAAAAAGGAGTAAAAGAAGAAGCAAGATAACAATCAAAATCAATTGAAGAGCAGGCCTTGATGTCCCTTGTTGCACAAGCTTCAAAAATCCTGTCTTAATATATTTGTTGAAACACAAGGATACACAAGGATTCATTGTGTTTACTTTGGTTTACACATAATATACTTTTGACGAAAGATCTCAACAACAACATACAACTTAAATGGGTGAATTTCTTTCATGATAATGAGACTTTCAACAATTATACTTGGGGTCATGAGAAATTTTATTTAACCGTGGAATACTAGTTTAAATCTCTAGGAGCAAAGATAGTAACTTATTTGGCTTTTCATGGACTTTTATGGTAAAACTAAATGTTCTTAATCTTTTTATATTATATTGAATAATTCAACATTTGATTTGGCATGTTTTCCTTTTTTATAGGCGTGGACATTTGAAGTCATTCCTCATTTGACCCATCAAAAACAAAATTTACCAAATATGGGGATATTCCAGATCTTTATTACCCTCCTCCTGATGCAATAAGTCATTACTATATTACACCAAAAATGTTGCTATAGATGACTCTTATGTTGCTATAGATGATTCATCTGTTGCAACATGTGATACAAATGTTGCTATAGATGCCCATATATGTCAACCGATCACACATTTGTAGCAACATATGGCATATATGTGGCAACATATCACCCATGTGTATCAAGAATGACACATCTGTGGCAATATATCACCCATCTGTAGCAACATATAACATATTTGTGGCAGCATATGACCCAATCATTCTTACGGATGACTCATTTTATAATTTTAGATTGTGCATCCATGATTTGTCCCAATAGAAAATGAATTGCAAATGTCATATCTAATTACTATAGGGTTGGTTGGAATCTTATTTCATCCTATTGTCGATAGAGTTAAAATGAAATTGGCTTGAGCAACAACCATCAAAAGAGACAGAGTTGTTAATGAATTACTTGTGTTTTATGGTATTGATGATGGTGTTGATGCTGGACAAGACCAAGGGACTACCTCTTGTAGAAGATGTTGTGGCTTTCTCTGTGAGAAGTGCAAGAAACAAGATGAAGATTCTATCGTGTATCTTCAAACATTGAGTCAAGATGTAAATGAATTTAAAAACAAGAGGGGGTGGGGTCAAGGGAATTCTATCAAAGAATGTTCTGCAATCATATACACCACATGCCAAGAGGAGGAAAAATCCTTTGTCAAGGCAATACAAAATCTGAAGAACAAGATGTTTGGAGAATTGTCAATGGTCGTAATAGAAGAAGTGAAGAAGTACAAAAAGCTGACTATTTAGAAGTGTGTGACTATAGCGAAAAAAACCAAAGTGTTGAGTCTAACGAGTGCAATGAATGTTCATATACAATATGGCATGCATATTTTTACAGGACAAGATTTCGGGAACATGACAAGCACGAATGTTTGATGGGAATACGGTGTAATCCTTCAATTTATAATGCATGTTTTGTTTTATATTTTCAATGGCTACTCTTCTTTACTCTTTAATATTATTTTTATTTCAGTATATTGATGAAATCTTTAACCTCACGCGTCAGAGACATGAGACATACCCGGAGTACTATGACCCCAAAGATAGAATTCTAGATCTCAACTTATATACCAACTTTTCAAAGAGATATGGAGAACTGAGCAACGAGACAAACAACAATAGTTGGTGGTAGAAACTTTAAATAGTTAGTAAATGAGTTTGAATGGTATAAAGATATGATTAACTATGTCAGGGGCATTAGGCCATTTCTTGGAGGCATGGATTGGATTGGTTCAAAATGGATTTTGACAGTCATGAACCTGAATAAAACCCATTTAATGACTCATGAGATATTCTTACACGAGGGACGCATGAATGTTTATGACTGACAGTTGATGGGTATGGAATATGCCGAGTTTTTGACATACAAATGACCTGTCTTCGAGTTGCTGCTCAAATTGTTGAAGCAAAGTGGAATAATGAAGCATTTGTCAGATAAGTGTCTCAACGAACCATGGAAATTTAAAGTTCGATTGGAACCCATGGTAAAAAATGAAACTGGAGCGGCATGCAGGTCATATTCGCTTGCATTCATTGAGTATTTGACTAGTGGGACAGAGATTCAACCTCCCAAAACCATGTTGTGTGATAATCTAGTTGGTCGAATTCAGTGGGTTTGGGCTTATGGGATAGTATCTCGGAGCTTAAAGCCTTGATAATGTGTTTGTAATTAAAGACAATGTTTTATTTTATCACTTATGTTATTTTATCTTATATTGAGAGCAAGTACATAGTATGTGAGGTGGATAGTTCTCATATGTAACAACATATACCTCAAATGGACAAATATTAATACATAAGGGTGATATATTGCAACATATGTATGATGTGTAGAAACACATGCCTCAAATAGTCAAACATTGCTATATATGGGTGATATGTTGCAACGTTTGAGGCATCTCTAGAAACATATGAATCATATGTAGCAACTTTTTCTCAAATGGACAAATACTGCTAAATAAGGGTGATAAATTGCAACATATGTATGATGTGTAGCAACACATGCCTAAAATAGTCAAACATTGCTTTATATGGGTGATATGTTGCAACGTTTGAGGATCTCTAGCAACATATGGATCATAGATAGCAACATATTCCTCAAATGGACAAACATTGCTACATAAGGGTGATATGTTGCAACATATGGATCATCTGTAGCAACATATGGATCATATGTAGCAACAAATGCCTCAAATGGACAAATATTGCTACATAAGAGTGATATATTGCAAAATATGGATAATCTATAGCAACATACTGATCATATGTAGTAACACATGCCTCAAATGGACAAATATTGTGGCATAAGGGTGATATTTTGCAACATATAGATCATATGTAACAATGCATGCCTCAAATGGACAAACATTGCTAAATAAGGGTGATATGTTGCAATATATCGATCATCTGTAGCAACACATGCCTCAAATGGAAAAACCTTGTTACATAAGGGTGACATGTTTCAACATATGGATCATCTGTAGCAATATATGTTGCAACATATGGATCATATGTAACAACATTTAGGGCATCTGTAGCAACACCTTGTGAAAATATGTTTTGTTAAGATAAAGTCTTAATTGTTGAAATAGGAATGCAAAACTACGTTTATTTGTTTCCACAACTATGATAATTTTAATGGTTGTACACAGCTTAAGAATTTTCCGTCCTCTACAGTATTCTTCAGGGTATTTTTAAAAAATACAAAATAAACATAAACAATCAACAACACGAGATTAGCTTCCACATGTTACAATATTTGATCTTCTTCTTCTCCTTTATCACCCATTTGTTACTTCTTTTAATATGACTTTTACCATCAATTTTCAACTCTTTAATTTTGTTTGTCAATCTCAGAATAACGAACTTGGATCGTATATCAACATCTTCACGATACCTCCATCTAAAGAAGTTGCATGCATTCTCCAAAAATACACACTACAAAAAATTAATTAAAATAAAATTAAAAAAACAAATTAAAGAGATCTCAAGTCTCCAGAGAAAGATGTAGAAATGTACATACACGATAGCGAGGACAAGATCGAAATCTTGGATCCTTCGGCCATGAGGTTCACATTGAAATTAAGTCTCCATGTTTGCAACAAACTTTCACACCCAACATGGGATCATTTTCATCATTGCAAATTCGGTTCAATATTGCATTTGACATTATATCAAAAGTAACAAAAACAAACAAAACTCATTCGTTTTGATTTAGAGTACTGATATATACATTAATGATTAATGATTTCATTTGGTTTAACTGAAGTTCAATCAAATTAGTTGCGAGTTAATAACAAAGAACAAAAAAGACTGACACAAAAAAGATTGATGATATAAAATAACATCATTAAATTCCATGCACTCCAGAGATTCAAAATTCGAAGAGAGAGGTCGTACCAGAGAGAGAAAGAGAGAGAGAGAGAGAGAGAGAGAAATGATATGTATGTTGAAATTCCCCCAACAAAACTTTGATTACACTTCAAGGATTGTTTGCAATTCCCCCAACAAAACTTCGATGACACTTCAAGGATTGGCTAATAGACGAATTGGGCGATTTAGAAATGGAAATGTCAACTTGGATCAAATTTTATTACTTAAGACCGTAATTAAGCAATAAAAATATGGTATAACACTTGGAACAACGATTTACAAGGGTGTTATATAACTATTAATTGGATTTACTTGGTCATTGTAAGATGAACTAGTGGTATGATAGTCTTTCTAAATATAATTGATAGAATCGAATGAAGGTAGGTGTATTGACCATAATTTGCTACTTAGACATGTTGTAGGACTATATATTAGTGTTACATATCGAATTAGGTGACAATTTAATTAACCCCCAAAAGACCCATTTTATGATATACATATGTTGCCACATATGATGGGTCTATTACAATTTCCCCAACAAAAATTCGTCGATTTAGGAATGGAAAAATGTCAACTTAGACAAAATTTATTACTTTAGACTATAATTAAGCAATAGAAATATGGTATAACACTTGGGACAACGATTTACAAGGGTGTTATATAACTATCATATGAATTTACTTGGTCATTGTAAGATGAACTAGTGGGATGATAGTCTTTCTAAATATAATTGATAGAATCGAATGAAGGTAGTTGTATTGGACCATAATTTGTTCCTTAGACATGTTGTATGACTATATATTAGTGTTACATATTTAAATAGGTAACAATTTAATTGAATTATACCCCAAAGACCAATTTATGATATACATATATTACCACATTTGACAAGTCTGTTGCAATTTTCCCAATAGAACTTTCATATGTTGTCATAAATGACACTTCAAGGATAGAATAATTGACAAATTGAGTTTATTTAGTAATGGAAAAATGTTGTAACACATGAAAATTTGTTTAATTCATAAATTTAAGTACCTTATCTGTTTCTAAATTAACACGAGATAAGGCATAACAATATCGAGCATAAGAGGATTAATGAGCATTGCAACAAATTGGCCTTTCTCCCAACTTATTAGGTTACTCGTGCAACCTTCCAATTATATCAAAAAATCCCTCGAGATCTCCTAAGAGTTTACAGGATTTATGTTGGTAATGAACATTATGTCTTTTCTCATGAATTCACTGCCTTTGAAAATTGAAATATGACATGCACATATCTTGCACCATTGTGGTCATGGTGTGCTACTTAATTAAGCATTGTCAATCCATTTGAATCGCAACGATTGAAAAAGTCATCTTACAGAAGAAACACATTTAAAATATAAAATACAGTGATAAAAATGTAAATACATACGAATAACATTAAAAGTATCAAGCTTTTTCTGTATAAAGCTTCTAAATTCCAAGATACGCTGCACATTTCAAGGAAAGGAGTGAATCTTTGAAAAAATGAAGATGACCATATAAATGCTGCACAAATTTACCTTTTGATATGCCGAAGATTCATTAGCGACTTCATTTAGGAGCCTGGAACTAAGAAATCAAATCAAATAGTCAAGAAATTGTATTAAAGAGTGAAAATTGATTATTATATTTAACCTTCATTAAATCTTTGAGTGAGTAGGAAGCAATCCTTTCAACGATAACAATTACTAGTTCCCTTGAAAGGGATTTAATGTAGTTTTTTCCCTCAAAGTAATTTTTGAAGATTTATTATTCTTCCTTACCATCTTAGAGAAAATTATATTAAAATATTTAAGTTGTGTTCTTCTTACATAATAATACAATTTCAATGTAATGAATGTGAATATGAAAAGTTGCAACTTCTGAAGATGAAGCACTTCTAAAGAATGTGAAAGTTGCAAGTACTCAATTTTTTTTAAAAAAAGTATAAAATTTGAAGACTTGTAATTAATGAAAGAGGTTGTTGTAATTAATGAAGAAGGTTGTTGAAATATTGCCACAGATGACATATCAAGAGTGGTCAAAATGAGAACATTGTTATAAACATATTTTATAAATAAAAATTCAAAATAAGTACAAAAGACAAAAATACAATATTTTTCACCATATGTTTTAAAGTTATGTGCATATGTTGCCACAAATTTAATTAATCCCACACAGTGGTATGAGACAGAAATTTAACTAGAAAATCTAGTTCTAAATCACAACTGCACAATTCACAACAAATATCGTCTTTATCGTCGCTTCCCCTAAGCCAATCATTTATGCGGGCGATTTGATGGGGTTGATGAACAACGCAATAAATGGGTCTTTCTCCCAAAAAATTAGGTTCTGGCATCCACATTCGACCTTAAATATATCGCAAATGGTGTTGACATCTTCTCACTATAAGTGACATGGTTCTTTTTCATGTTGGCAATGAACATGAAACATTCTCTCATGGATTTACTGCCTTCAAAGAATGAAATTACGGCAAGCACATTTCCAGGAAAGAAATGGCTTGTTGATTAGTTGTCCATCTAGGTTCAAGAAAGTTGACCAACGTTACCTTCTGATATACATATGGTTCATTAGCGACTTTATTAAGGAACTTGGAACTAGGAAATGAAAGTATATGGTTAGAAAATGAAATTAAAGAGCAAATATTGATTAATACATATCTATACCTTAATTTAACATTCATTAAATCTTTAAGGGAGTAGGAAATAATCATTTCAATGATATAAATTAGTATTTCCCTCATAAGAGATTCAATGAAATTTTTTCTAGTTGAAACTATTTTTGAGAAAGTTAAATGAAGACGAAGAGAAGACGCTTCTGTTGTGTTCTTATAGAATCCAAGAAATTTGAAAAGTTGCAAGAGAAGAGATGACTTTAAAAAAAGGGTAAAAAATGAGGAGCCATAATTAATTTTATTTATTAAGGTTGTTCGAATGACAATAATGATTGATTGATTGTTGACAACAGTTACAAGTAATCATTATTTAAAAATATATTGGGACAGATGCGTAATTATTTTAAAAAATATATATTTGACATATGTTGGAACATATGAAATATTTTGTTGTAATATCTAACACATAGTTGACATATGTTGGTACAGATACGTTATGTGGTACTTGTAACACATAATTGACATACGTTACAACATATGCAATATTCTGTTATAAGATCTAACACATTATTGACATATGTTGGTACAGATACATTATGTGGTACTTGTGACACATAATTGACATATGTTGCGATATATGCAATATCTGTTGTAAAATGTAACACATAATTGTCATATGTTGACACAAATGAATTTGTTCAAAATTAATCACACTTTTTATTTATGAAGATCAAATTTCAAAGTTAGTGCAAATCACAGAAAGCCAACATTTTTCACCATGAATTTACAAGTTCTTTACATATGTTGCCACATATGATAATATAACTTATACCTCACAATACTATAAAACAGAAAATTAACTAGATAATCTAGTTCTAAATCACACCTACATAAATATAATGAACATCAACTTCATTGTAGTGTCTTCTCTAGGGAAAATCATTCATGTGACCGATTCGCTCAAATTGATGAACAGTGTAACAAATAGGTCTTGCTTCCAACAAATGAGGTTCTGGCACCCACATTCCAAATATTTCACAAATGATTTCGACATGTTATGACTTTTAGTGGCTCTGTTTTTTTCAAGTTGGAAATAAACATTAAGGCTTCACTCATGGATTCACCGCATTAAAGATAGTGTCTGTTGCTTGATTAATCATTTTGAATGCAGTTTGATCGCTATGGTTGAAAAAATCATACTACGTAAGAAAAAACATTTAAAATGCAAAATAAAAGGAAGAAGTAACTACACTCGAAAATATTAAATATTACTACGTCTTTTATGTATAAGGTTTCTAAATTTTGTAATGTTCTGCACATTTCGAGGAAATAAATGACTTGTTGAACAATTGACCGTCTACAAAAAGCAAAGCTGACAAATGTTACCTTCTGATATACTAAAGGTTCATTAGCGACTTTATTGAGAAACCTGGAACTGAGAAATGAAATTAAAGAGCAAAAATTGATTAGTTCCTTAATTTAACCCTCATTAAATCTTGTATAGAGTAGGAAACAATCCTTTCAATGATATCAATTAGTAGTTCCCTCGGAAGGGACTGAATGATATTTTTACTCATAGTCATCTTTGAAGATTTCTTATTCATATTGGATATTCAGTGAAATTTGAAAAGTTTCAACTTTGAGGACGAAGAGAAGAGAAGAGACAAATTTTTGACTTTTCAAATGTAAGTACTTATTTTATTTTTTTTTTGAAAAAAGGGTAAAATATGAAGAGTCACGTCATTAATTTTTTTTCTTGAATGTTGTTCCAATCACAGTAATGATATGATTGACTGATTGTTCACACACATTACACGTATTTATTTTTTAAAAATATGTTGGTACAGATTCATTTTTTATGGTACTCGTAACGCATAATGGACATATGTTGGGACAGATGGAATTTTATGTTGTAAGATCTAACACATAATTGACATATGTTTCCCTAAATGCAATATTTTGTGTTAAGTGACAACATATAATTGTCATATGTTGCCACCGATGCAATATTCGATTGTAAATAGCAACACATACTTGACATATGTTGCCACAGATGAAATATTTTGCTATAAGTTGCAACACATAATTGACATAGTTGCCACAAAATATTCTATTGTAACTAGCAACCCATGATTAAATAAATCAAACATTATATATGAATAACATCACATAAGTTGATCCTAGATAAGATAAGAAGATAGGGATCATTCTCAAATAAGAAAGAACATTCATTAAAATTCAACAACACTTTTTATGGGGCATTTCGATTTGGGCATGTAGTGTTTTTTGTAACCAAAGTCCCTATATACGGAACACTTATTTTTTCTTTTTGATAATAATTCACCAACTCTATGCCATCTCTTATATATCCTTCTTCCATGTTTACTTGGATTAACATATGGAGGAGGTATTTCTCTCAGTATGATATCCAAAGGGACAATAGGTATACCATGGTTTCACGGCATTTATAATAATTTTTCCTTAAGTTTAGTGTGTGTCCAAAAACCATTTTGTATAAATTTTTATGTAAGTTGTTCTTTATTTGCAGGAAATCTGTCTAAAGATGAACGCGGAAGTATTTGAGCAAGAAATGCAGAAAAGTTACCACCTACAGAGCTTGTGACGGTCCGTCGTACCTGTGATGGTTCGTAGGTGGCATCGTAGTGAAGATGCTGAAGGAAGATGGGGGAAGTCTGACCAAGTGTGGGGTTACGAAGTGCATGACGGACCGTAGTAGCCATGATGGTCCGTCTTGCTGGTTCATCGTGATGATCAGAGAAGTAGTTCAATACCCAAATTCCAAGAAGTTTAAGTGTTATGGAACGGAGACCCTCGACGCACCGTCGTGCTTGGAATGGTCCGTCATACCTACCGTCGAGGGTAATGAAGAGAGCAGCAGAAGAATTTTCAAAGTATGGGACGACGGAGTCCATGACGGCCCGTCATAACCGCGATGGTCCGTCACTAGGTCCGTCGACCCAACCGCGTTTTGACAAATTTTCAGCAATTAGAGTCCTTCTTTTATTAGGTTTTTCTTTTTTATAAATAGTTGTAAAAACCTCATTTTTGGGGTTAGACTTTTGTGGGTTAAACACTTTTATGTTAGATTCTTTGTTAGTAGATTATTTTGGATATTAGACTTTGGATTGTTACACTTTTCTCTAGAGTAGATTGTTGGTGATTTTGTCGATTAATCAAGTAAATTTCTGGATTGATTGTTTCTCATTGAAGTAAGTGCATGAAATCTTATATTATATATATGAATATTGGATTATGACTATGGGTAACTAAACTCCATAACTAGGGTTGTGGGAACCATGAGTGAATAATAAGGTAAAATCTAACTAAAATAACAAATCTAGAATAGTATCTTACATGTATTGATAATTCTTTCGTTTAGAAATCTTTTTAACGGATGGCCAACATTAGAAATCTCCTTAATGCTACTTGCCGGACGAAGGATGTAGATAATAGGAAAAGAATTATCAACATAGATTTAGTGTATACTATCTAATAGGCTAGTATTGATTGGTACGAGGTGATAACTTAGTCAAATATCGAATATGATGCTTAACATGAGGTAAAGGTAAGGGTTAGTATAGCAATACACGTAGCCGGTCCATGGTGCGGAGTAAAATTTTCTAGATGCCGGACCAAGGATTTAGAAATACATAACTTATCACTTTGTATGCAAGATACTAGGAAAGAATTGTTATAGTTAGAATTATCAAGTTAGAAACCTGTGGGGAACACTTATACCCTAGTTACTTTGATTAATTGATTAAACTCCAAGATTTGAACGTGTTAGTTGTTGCTTCAATTTAGCTAATTATTTTTATTAATTTAGATATAAAAAAACTCCCGTTATTGTCTTTTGTTTTCTAAGTAAATAATTGACTAAATAATAGTAATAAAAAATTGAAATTAAGTCTAAACTATTTTCCTCGTGGAAACGATCCCAACCTCATTAGTTGGGTTCTTTACTTGATATGACCGCTTCACTTCTTATTTGAGAAGTAAGTATGAGCGTATCAACAATCCAAGAATCTTTAGGTGGCACTGAGTGAAGTTCCTGACAATATGCCATTATGTATTTTTCCACAGAATAATATGGAAAAAAGTACACATAAATTTGTTTTCTAAAATCGGCACCATGTTGAGATCAAAGCGCTGCCATGGCATGTGGACAAGGTATTTTGTCAAGTCAAAAATTCTACAAGTACAATTTCTTTTTTGTAGATTTGTAGTAGAAGCATCACCATGACCAGTAACACTGAACTTGTAGTTAGCGATTTGATGAGCCAACAACTTGTTGCCTCAGTTGACATACTCTGATATGTCTTTTTCAATCGAGGGAACAAATCTATTTGCAGAGTGCACCAACTCCATACGCCTCTGGTGAAATGACAATGCAAATCTCCTGTTTATTTCATCAAATAGAGTGACAATGATTAATTCTTTTTCAACATCAAACATATCATTCACCGACACCACGATGTTTGACATCATAATGTTATATCTACACAATAAAAAAAATAAAAAACAAACACATAAAATAAAAATAAACTCAAAATGAGATGATACCTTTTCCTGGGAAAATGCCTTACTCCATGTATCGAATCCAATACGTTCAAGAACTTTAGCCGCCTTTGGTACCAAATCTCTTATTTGATTGAAATGATCATTGAACTCACCTCTATCCTACGCCTTTGTTACTTTATAAAAACGGGACACTACCTTTGAACTGTGAAAGTTATTTAGAATATTTTTCCTAAGGTGTATTAGGTAAAATGAGATGCAAGGTAGATTCTCGTAACCATCTTTCGAATACTTGATGCCTATTAGAAATAATGCATAACTCATTAGTACCATCTACAAAGCTTCTCATATTTTAATTTTTTTTCCTTATGAGGTATCACATTCCATGTCTACGACACAAAAAGCCAATGAAAATATATGATTCTCATCATCTTGTTCTACCGCCGATAAGAAAACTCCTCCACACTTCTCTTCAGGAATGTGCCATAAATGACTATTACTTTTCTCATTTCTTGAAAACCAGTTATCCAAGAACCTCCCATTTTCATCAAGCGACAATACCGTCTTGCTTCCTGGATTTGCAACTTCAAGCATACAACAATACGCATTAAGCACTACATACTCGTGCTCATGTGTTCCCCTGACATTAGATTTAGTATTCTCCATGCCCTTATAAATCTTCCAATAACTTACCTTATACCCAATTCTGTCCAGAGTTGATTTGACACGTCTCTTGTGGATGGGCCTTTACCATTGGGAAATCTACTTCCCTATGACTTTTGTTATGACATGGGGATTATGGCTTGTAACATGCTTTGAACCACACGTATGGTATTTTTCGTAGATACTAATGGTAAACCTGTTGCTACTTGTAAATTTCACAGCCTTCAGTCACCAATTGCAATTCATATATGAACATTTAAAAAGAAAACACATTACAAGAATTGATCACCTTTTTCAGTCTGAAATATTTTTTTCAAGCAAGAAATTTTCAATGAATTTACCAGTTCTATCTTGTTCTTGAATGTCATTCCTTTATAACAATGTGTGTCATCATCTCGAACATTATTCACGCGTGATGATTGAGAAGCGCATGAATGTTGTTGCCAACTATAGGTGTAGGAAGAATGTTGCTCTCAAGGTCCAACCCTTCATTTTCACCTATTCCAATTTCATCATCGGGATTATTCATATCCATGGGATCAAATTCATCATTTAACATATCTTTTTGGCGTTCGTCTACATTAGGATCATCCTGATAGGATTTTCTTCCGCGTAATCTCTTAATATGGGTGACTGCTCCTACCAACTAAACAAGCAAACTAGGTTGACCAATTATTCTAAACGGTAAAATCTTCTCATTATGAAAAAATGGGGAATGTAACTCATGACAAGATCTTCCAGTTGACAATTTTACCTAGACTTATTCACGACTAAATTGAAGAAATCATCATGCAAAATATTTCTTTTGACATACATCCCTACTGAATGGGCTCCTTGTTTATTACTATCCTTCCAACACCAAATGAATCGATTTGTCTTGTCTACCCATTCACCACGACAATCAATTCTTACAAATAATAACTCCATTTATTGTACCTGAAGAAATCATTTAAAAACAATTATTAATTATGAAGAATAAGCATATCTTTGCAACATATGATGGCGAGATGTAAGTCATATATTGCTACATATGTCTTTTTTGTTGTGACAAATAAATCACATGTGACAACATGTTTATGTTGTATGTTGCCACATATAACTTTTCTTTGCGAGATGTAAGTCATATATTACTACATATAAGTATTCTTTTGTGACAAATAAATCACATATAGCAACATGTGTAACATTTGCAAACTGAAATAGCTAGGATTAAACAAAGAAACTAGTAATAGTTATTTTTGGAAATAATAGGAAAAATCTGGAAAATTTCATCAGTGTAAAAGTAAGATTTTGGTCATTTTCAAACGTCCATAACTTCTAGCTCAGGGTTATTTAGGACCAGTTCTTTATTTGGTTGGAAAAACCTTGATGAGATCTTTCCAACGTCGCTGAGTTTACAAAATTTTGGTATTGTATGAGGGAGATATGCCTATCGGAAGTTGGGCCGTTGGATTGAGGAAAATCCAATCCAAATTTTAGTAAGGGTAAAGAAGTCTTTTAACCCCACTATTTCCTAATCTTTAAGGGTTTATTAGGGTTAAAAGTAACCTATAAATCAGTTTTTAGAAGATTGAATATGTTTAGGGCTTAAAAGAAAAGAGAAGAGAAGAATGAGAAAGGAGAAAAGACAAAGGTTTCGCCAAGATTGTTGAGTGAGTTTCATCGGGGGTCATCCCTTTCAGATATGTGAGATCTTTCTGTGATGGGTTCTTCCACCCATAAAATAATATGTTTGATTTAGCGCAATTAGAGTTGATTGAATGATGAACATTGAAGTTCCTGATGAAAAACCGATGAATTCTATTTGGTTGAGTTGTAGTATTCCTTTGGTTCTTTGATTCGTGTTTCCGAGATATTTTACGAGTCTAAACTATTGGGTATTGAGGATATTAGTGATCCTAAGTGTTTGGGGTGAGATCCAGGGAGTTTAGGAGGTTTATAATTGAAAATTAGAGAAGAAAAGTTAGAAATCTAGTCTGACAAACCCTGGGGTGCCGCGCCTGCCAGAGCCCCTCAAAGAAGCTTTTGTCTAACAGGGCCTGGCGCATCGCACCAGCTTGATCCCCTCAGGACAGTCTCTGTCCGTCAGGCTCTGGCGCCCCGCGCCTTTCAGAGCGTAGGGTCACCTGGAGATCCCATTTTTCCCCATATTTTTGTACGAGTTCTTAAGTGATGTACCTATGAATCCTAGTTAATTTTAACACTTTTAAGTACATCTAACCATCATGAAATCATCAATAAACATGAGATCATGATCCTTGAATCCATAACCCAAATTCAAGCAAAGTTAAGATCAAAGTCAAAAAAGTTAAAAGTCATGTTTAAAAGTTGAGAAGCAAGTCAAACTGAGTTCTTAAAGTTTTCAAGAGTCTTAAACAAACATTTTTTACTTTGTTTCAATTCTCAATCTACAAGTTGATCAAATAGTAAAGAGTTGAGTCTAAATCTAAAAAATTATAAGGGAACTAAGTGTTCCCTAGAGTTAAGTTTCAAGTAAAGCAAAGAGCAAAGAGTAAATTCATTTATCAAAAGCTATAAGGGAACTAAGTAGTCCATTTGAGTTAAATGTTTTCACATTTTGAGAAAGAGAGGAAGCTAGACTTCCACAGAGCCTTTGGCTAGTTTTAGAAAATGGTAGTTATTCCAATAGATCTTTTAAAGTTAAGTTTGCAATTACCTTAAACCAGAGAAGAAGTTGTTTTAAAATCATACGAGCTAAGTATTTTGGGAGTTGTATTGAGCACCGATATGGGGACACAAGTTCATATCAACTCAAGTCTCCATAAACCATGTAGCCAACATGAACAGATAAAGGGTCATAATTTTTAGATAATTCCTTAGTGCTTTTTAGCATTGACTGGTGGATCCACTTAGTAGTTCAAGTTCTATACCGATGGCAAGGTATATAGCGGTCCTCTTGAAATATGAGGTAAGACGTTGTACCATAATTTAGGCTCATAGTGATGGTTCTCGGTTAGAGAATCTCCCATAGAAACTATGTTACGTTCATATATAAGTAAAGTTGAGTTTATTATTGCATTAGTATTAATGAACTAAGTGTTTACACTGTTTTTACAAACTTTGTGTGTGTGTGTGTGTCTATATATATATATATATATATATATATATTGCATGTGTCTTTACTGCTTTATATTGAGTTATGACTTCTTGAGTTGAGCAAAGTCAAGGTAAGTTAATTCTTACTCCTTTAAAGCTTAGTAGTTATTGTTTAGCATTCCAACTCGCATACTCGTACATTCAATTTACTGATGCCAGTTGCCTGCATCGTTTCATGATGTAGACGGTGGTAACCAAGAACAGCATCCAACGCCTCGTTGATCCAATTTGAGCATCCAGAGTAAGTGGTGAGCCTCCTTGCTTCCGGAGTACACTTTATTGCTTTGAGTATTTCCTTATAGAATGTTGAGGGTTTGTCCTAACATTCATCTTAGTAGTAGTAGAGGCTTCATAGACAGGTAGACAGTCAGACAGTTCAATTTTCGTCTCTTTTATCTTACATGTCAGATGTTTTAACTTTGAGAATTAAGTGTCATATTGGCCAAGACAATTATTTAAAGTATTTTCTTATGAGAATGTTCCAGTTTTAGGATTGAGTTAAATTACGTCTTCCACTGAGTTAAGAAAGTCAGCCCAAGGCTTCACTCAAGGCCAGCAATGTTCGTTAGGTGCATGCCACGTCCAGGGTGTATGCTCCAAGCGTGAAGACATGTTTATGTTATATGTTGCCATATATGACTTTTCTGTTGAGAAACGTAAGTCATTTGTTGATACATATAACTATTCTATTGCGATGGAAATAACCTTTCTATTGCTACATATTGCTTTAATATGTTTCCAATAGTCGATTGTTGGAAAAAATTACAAGTAGCCAGATAAGATGATCATGAATGATTTCAATTAACTATTAATTTTAGTTACCAAAACAATAGAGTGTGATCCAATCACTTATGAAATAATTCCAATTGATACAAAACAGAATCTGGTCTACTGATTAGAGATTAGCTAAATCTTATTCAAGAAGAAGAAACGAAGAAGAAAGCTGAAGCACTAGCAGCCAAGACCCACAATGTACGAAAAGAAGAAGAAGAAGATGAAGATGAAGATGAAGAGAGCGGTAAGAATGGCAAGCAAAGACGAGAGCAGAAGAAGAAGAACAAGAGGAGGAATACGAAGACTAGAGGCGGGAGAAAAATCTTTTATTTCCCCTTTTGACTCGATTGTGGCTTCTCTCCCACCAAAATTAGGTTTTAGTCAATTTACTTTTTTACCCTCATTTATTCCCACGAAAGTTGGTTAAATTAAGTTATAGTCAGTTTACCCTTTTACTCCTCAATTAATTCAGTACATCAAACTGTCAACTTATAAACTTGAGGGAACCTCCACAATCTCAATCACATAATTGTCACCTACACCCAATACCTAAGACTTATATCACCGCACTTTTATTTTGAAGCCTTAGTATCATTTTTTTTTAAAAAATCCCTGGTTAGGAGCTCCATTTTTTTTCAGTTTTCTTTTTTGGAAAACTAAACTCATATTTATTACACAACTGGAAAAACTAATCGTGCTTCGCGCGAATTTAATGCCACAAAATATATAAAATAATTCTTAAAGTCTATTCGTAACTAAAACTAAAACACTATATTATCCTATACAAAAGATTATAATGTAAGGGAAAATGAAAATTATTACATCTTATCATTTATCCTTAATAACATAAGTATAAAGTAATAACTATAAAAATACATACCAAGATTGTAACATAAACAATGGTGTTACTAAATCACTCAACATAAGTAAAGAACACAAATATTTAATTGTAAAGAAGAAGAAGAAGAAAATGAGAGGAAATTCCTCTATTTATAGACAATAAATGGTAGTGTAAACAAATATTTATTGTGCCCTATCAGAAATGTTGCAACTATTCGGAAAAGTTGCAACCCTTCAAATAAAATTGTCTTACATATGAATAATATATTGTTCTTTTTAATATGAACTAAAAGTGTATTATAAATGTATTAAAAGTGATCAAGTGAAAAAAATTGTTATTGCTATAAATGGTAAATATTTTTTATGTAAAGTATATTTATGTAAGTTTCCCGACATATAAACTTAACAAAGCCCACATTCCTCTAACTTCCTATTTTTCTTGCCCACTTTTCTATATTAGTTTTCTTTGAAAAGAAAATCTTCGTTGAAGCAATAGTTCAAAAAATATATTATAGAATGACTCACAAGTTCTACCATGAACGTACTGATCGTGTTTGAAATGTTACCAAACACGTCGTTGAAGTCAACAAGCAGTTTCGTAACAAGAACTTAACAAAAAGGATCCATGTGAGGATTGAGCACATCTAACAGTCTCGATGCACTGAGAAGGCAGAGAAATGATTAAGAAAAATTATGTGGTGAATGATTTCATTTGTGGTTTATATAAATTCTAGTATATATGAGATTTAAGACATTTGATTTCATGTTTATTGGACATTCTCTTATTCTTTCTTTGTGTGTCCCAGTGATATTTGGCTATTTTTTTGAATAAAAACATTGCATCTGAATGACATGTTTTGTTATTTCTTCACAATAGTTTTGTTGTTCTTCATAACTGCATGCTAGGAAACTAACTAAACTGTGGAAGACATTCTAATTTATATTGGATGATTATTTTGAATCTTTTATCTTCTGTTAGTGTTATTATTAATACATAATTAATTTTATTAATCAAATTGATTATATTGAATTTACTCCTTTATAGCAAATAAATTTACAAATTGTTGACACTAATTTTTAAAACATAAAAAATAAATTTTAATCAACACTTTTTTGTGGCAAATTATCAATTCTTTTATTAAATAATCAAATTAATTTTCTACATTATTTCTTTGTAGAAAAAAAAACAATCCAAATTACTTAAACACATAGGACTTTGTTTTGTATAGAGTTTGCGTATTTTAGGATTACATTACTGTTTAAGAGTCTTTTTTATGAGAAATTATCAAATGAAAGAAGATTGAAAAAAACGATGTAAGAATTTATTAATAAATATGTAATTATTTAAACACGATTTTTTTCTCCCATTTTTCTTTGCATGATCTCTCAAACCGTTTTGACACATTCATGGTGATCATGCGCACGGAACGACTTGGCTATTAGAAATGATTAGAGTTTGCATTATCATTTTAAACAAATTCATGTGGCCTATTTCATATTGATACACCCACATTATATTATTTTAATAAAATTAGTTATTTTTGAATTTGAATTCAAATTTAAAGTGATTATCTAAAATTGTTCTACCATAATCTCTATTCTCTATTTACATAAAAAAATTTTATTAATGGGTCTATTCTTCTTCAAATGTGTAATGGGGGCGTGTGAAAGTTCAAGAAGAAGAACAATATTTATCAAAGTGAAAATCATCCACACATCATGATGAAATTTTTAGATCTATAATATTTTATTATGTTTTTTTTAGTTCATTTAATTCTTTCTATCATATTTTGTAGTTAAATTCTTTGGAGCAATGAGTTTTATTTGTTTATTTAATTTACATTTGTAATCCAAATTAAATTATCGATAGAATATCTTGGTATATAAATTTTTGGAAAGTTCTATTAATCAACTTCATTCTTTTGTGTTTTGTTGATTTTTGTACATTGCAAACTCTAGGATTGTAAGTAATAGATAGCCAATATTGCCTATGTTGCTTTGCCAAAACAGATTATGGCTAATTGTAGCCATCCCAAGCCTTCTAAGTGGTAGTAATATTTGGATAAACCATGTAATTTGCTATTTTATTAGAGCTTATGAGAAATTTAATCTATAATATTAACTTTGTGTATCGTTCTGCTATTAATTATTTTATAGAGTCATATAAAATAAGTATTTGAGTTGTATTCTTCAATTAAATAAATGTTATCTACTTAACGCTCACATATGTATCAATTCATAAAAATGATATTAGAGTTTTTCTCTACACTTTATTTGAATTAATTCATTTTAAGTATTTTTAAATCAAAATAGCTTTTATTTTTGATGTAATGGTTGGATTAACTAAAAAAAGTCCTATATAATGTTTGTGATTATAGAGTGATAGAGATTTAGACATTTTCTACTTAATTTTTTTTAGATCAAATGAGTTCCTATGTTTTTGGGATTACAATTGTACCATTTGATGATTTTTATTATGATAAACGTTTTTTAGAACCGTCTGTAACTTTTGTTTAACTTTATTGGAGTAAATATAATACTTTCTTAATTCATTATTATTTTTCTTAATTTTAATACAGATCTAGATACTGACATGTTTTTTATTATTGAATTATTGGTCATATATTCACATATATAAAATGCTTTTATTTGCAAATTTATACAAAAAGTAATCAATATATGTGTATATATGTATATTTGTCACAATAATGGGTGAACACATCAAATTATTAAGTGAAATATTAACATAATGATGATATTTAACATGTTTAGGACGATATGAATGGTTAATAATGACATATGAGATTTTACTAAGCTCGCACATCGCACGAATACGAATACCAGTAGTATTTAATAGTTTGGATCATTTCATTATATGGCTAATACAATAATTAAATAATTTAACAAAGTAAAAAACAAAAAAATGATTTACTTTATAAAACGTTTTAAAAATAAACTCAAATGTAAGAATTACATTTTATTTTTGTATTTATTAATTCATAGGATTTCACCTTAAAAATGTTCTTGTTTTTTGGGTATGTGCTAGATACAGTGGGTAAGTTCATTATTATTAAATTTATCAATGTTCTAATTTATTCATATAAAATTTAATAAAGCAAGCAAAAAACTATCACGCATGCACGTGCAGACGAACATGCACACACGTACACACACTATTTCTTTCTTTAATCTGTAGCATAATTTTAATACTTGTAGAAGTTACATTCTGATATTAAACATCAAACCTTTTCAATAAAAATAAATAATAGATGAATAAAATTTAAAGTATAAAGAATTTTTAGTTTGATTTAAGATCATTTTATGATCAATCACCGTTTTCTTATCTATTTTTATATAGTTGGCAATGAGTGTATCTCGTGACATTACATTTTCTCATTTAAAAATGAACACAAAATGTAACAGGAAATTCATACTTAAAAAATATCACACTCAATATAAATATAAAATAGAAGAAAATATATGAAACAATTCATAGTCAATGAAGAACGAAAATGAAAATATTTGTTCATACTATATTCACTTTAGTGTTCCAGCACAGTACTTTCTCGGTTAATTTTTACTTACATTTCTATTAAAAATAATTATTATTAAAGATATATTATCATATTATAAGTAAACGTGTATATCTATTTTTAAAGACTAAACATCAAAACTAATAATTCAATAGACTAAGTTGATGCCCCCTATTTTAGCAAAATTAGGAAGAAACTCCTTCATTTGAGCGTAAAAGAAACAAAAATAGAAAAATAAAGAAGAAGTATCGTACCTCAATCGTGTGCCTTTTTCATAATTTTTAGTACTATTGTCTCTTGAACAACATGATCTAGTAATTTATTTGGAAAAAAAGATCCATGATATGTGTATTTGTCACTTTTCACTCGTTATGTGAACATAGATTATTAAATTCTCTCTAAAATGAAAACACAAAAGAAATTAAATAAAGAATCAAAACAAGAAAATAAAATTAAAATCCCCTTGCACTATACATAGAAGTTTTTTATCTGAAACAAAGTTCATAGTTAATTGCACATTCTCCACTCTCTTCTCTTCTTTTTTAATAGAAAGTCAATACCTATATTTCATAAGAGCATGAAAAAAACATAATGGATGAGGTATGAATGATTTATGATCGAAGGAAGATGAATGTTGAAAATGTTGTGACTGTTCATAGGAAATATATTTTTTTAATAAACAAAATATGAAGGTTAATTGAAGTGTATTAATGTTCTAAATGATACAATTATTACTCAAGTATATATGTGATAAAAATCGTAAGAGGAAAATAGGAGTATGAATTGACGAATAATTTGTTCATCAACTCTTTCCTGTGTAGTATCTCAAATCGTGTTGAATTTAGAACATAATCAACTATTGAAAATAACATTTGAGATTTTTTAAGAAAACGAAGAGTATAAACTTGAAAAAAATTATAGTTTAAAAGTGGAGGAGACCTCTCTATTATAGATAACAAAAATTATAGTTTAAAAGTGGAGGAGACCTCTCTATTATAGATAACAAATAATAGTATGAAAAGTGCTACTTGTGCCTTATCTAAAAAGTCACAATCCTTCAAAAAAGGCACTGCTCACCAAGAAAAGTCACAACCATTTGAAAAAATTCTAACTTTTCGAAAAAGACAACCCTTTCGAAAAGTCGGAACCCTTTGAAAAAATTACAACCCTTCTGAAAAGTCACAACTCATCGGAAATGTCACAACCCATCAAAAAGTGTCAACCCTTCGGAAAAGTCACAGCTCATTGAAAAAGTCAAAATCCTTTAATGTGAAAAGGTATCTACTTGTAATATTATACAAGTATTTATTAAATAAAAATAAATAAATTGAGTATTTGTAATTGGGAATATCATAATAATTCGGCATTCATATTTGTTTGGAAGTTCATGGTATTATATATATATATATATATATATATATATATATATATATATATATATATATTGTTCATCTTTTTCTCTTAGCCTTTGTTCTTAAAAATAATCTTCTTTAACCACACCCCGAATTTAGTTATCCATAGTTCTTTTTCTCAGAACAATTAACCTGGCAATGTCCTAGGAATTTACAGGTTAATCCATCGATATTTTTAAGAAGATAAGAGACTAACCATATACTAAAGTAATATAGATTCATGATGATATTTATAAATTTACATGAATATTTAAATAATCATAAAAGTAAACACACATGATTTACATAAAACACACATAATTTACATATATGAGAAGTTTTACTAGAAACTTAAATATGAAAACTTACATTATCTAGAATAGAGTGAAGTTTCCCTTTCGGAAAACCCGAACGACTTCCAAAGTAACTTTACAAAAACTTGACAAAACCTAAGAACCTAAAGAAAATATTTTTATATTTTATTTTTAAAGAGGAAGGATCTTTGGAGGGATTAAGATTTGCAGGTTGTAGATTTTTTGCTCTTTTTTGCTTTCTTCGCTCTCTACCTTCTTCTTCTGATAATGTCTTCTATATATACACAAATATGGACTTCAAACTTCGGACTTCAGAATGAAAATAATTTCATCTTTTCCGCCGGGTACGCATTGGGCCCCATCGCACGTGAATTGATTCCTTTCTTTGCATTATCATCCGTCCTTTGTCCGAATTATTACTATTCCCTTATCACTTATTATTTGTCTTATACAAAAAGAAACTTTATCTCTTAATACTTGTCTATTCTAAAATAAAGTAAATACGCGTCCCAACAGTTTTTCCACAAATGTGTGGTAGTGAGTAAAGTGGGACTCACATTGTTGACAAAAGAGGCATTCCTCTTTTTTGACTACATTATTGTGTGTGTATATATATATATTATGTGTCTAAGTTGTGTAAAGCAATGGAATCAAAGCTCATACCCGAATCATAGTCGTTTGGGTCTTGAGCAAATTGCATAGAGTCTGAAAAACCATCTAAATTATTTGGGCTTAAATATGAATTTTGTCTTGGGCTTTGTATTGGGCTGGGGTTTATATGTTTGTCTTTGTCTTGTTGTTCTTTAAGTAGTTTTTCTACAGTCTTGGTTATGATGGATTCTAAGTCTTTATTTTTTTGTGATTTTTTGGTTTTTTGTCTGATTTTTTGGCTAAAAGAAATTGGTAGTTGTCTTCTTGAGGATGAGCTTTCTTCTTTTTCACTTTTTGGCAAAGTGACAGCCATTAACAGATTTGATGAGTCTTTACCGGCTACCGTTTGAACCGGACTAGCTGTATCTTTATCCGATACAGTGGATTTATTTACATTCAGAGGGGAATGTACACCCATCTCATCCATTTTTATTGGGGATGGAAAACCATGTATATTGATCTGATTGTCTTTTATCTTTAAGTCATTCTCCATTTTTGCCATCCTGTCCTTTAGCTGGAGATTTCCCTGAGCTAATAATTCATTCTTGAGATTTAGTCTCTTGAAAGCTTCGGTCATTGAAGAACAATGATCGCAAAATATAATTTTATCTGTGTCTTTCTGAATATGGTATTGAGGAATTTTGTCTGGATTTTGTTTAAGAGAGGGAGAGATATAATAGTTTGGGCCTAATACCCCTCTAGCATAATCTAGTGCTTCAGTAAAATCATTAAAGCCTTTAAAAAGAGGTTTTGAAAAACCTTTAATAGAATCTAATACTTCTATCCAAGTCTGAAAAATTCCATTTGTTTTACCATGAATAACAACATAGTATTTAAATTTTTTTTCTTTATTTTTACTATTAAAATAAAATCCTAAGGCATTTAAAACTGCAATTATATATTTAGTGTCTTTCTTATTATGGGCTATCCATATATTGTCTATTAAACATTTTTGTTGTTTATCTATATGATATATAGGTAAACTTCTAAAAGTTAAATTAGATGACTCATATGCTATTAGATTATGTCGTCCAAATTGTAATATTTCTACTCTATTATCATCTATTTTATTTAAAGGTCTAAACTGTAAATTAGATAATACTGTCTGTCTGTATATGTCTGAGTAATCTTGGGTTGGAGGTTGAACTCCTTTGCCCTTGTCTTGAAAAGAAGGTCTCATTCTGAAAAATTTAAAATTATACTTTGATTAATAATCTACTTAGTTGATCTGCAATATTATTATCATTTCCTTTAATATGTTCAAAAATTATAGAATTATAAATTGATATAGTGTCTAAAACATTTAGTCATCTTCTTCTACTACTTGTTTTATCATTAATTTTTTGATGGAATTTTACTATTGCTTCACAATCAGTTCTTATTAAAATTTCTGGTTTATTTAAGATATAAATTCTAAAACTATTTAAACCATATATTACAGCTAAAATTTCTACATCTATGCTAGTTTTATTTCCTTTTTCTTTAAATTCTCCACTTTGATAAGCGCAAATTTTTTCTTCTTGCTTAGAACTATATTTATGTGGTTTTGATTTTAATACTGCTCCCCATCCATCAAAACTTCCATCTGTCTCTATTATTAAATAATCTGATTCTAATGACATATTAAGATCAGGTATATTTTTTATTTTTTCCTTTATTTTTTGTACTAATTTTATATCTTCAATATTAAAATTTCTTTGTCCCTTATTTCTTGTCTTAGAATATAATGGTCCTGCTATTTTTCCTAAATCTTTAATAAAAGGTCTTGCATAATTAACTATACCTAACATTTTTTGTAAATCTTTTAAATTATCTAATTTATCTGGCATATCTAAGGCCTTTTTAGCTATATGAGGTTGTAATTTGACCTTCCCTTCTCCTAAAATGATTCCTAAAAAATTTATATAATTTTTAATAATTCTATCTTCTTTTTACTAATTATTATTCCATTATTAACAAATAACCTAAAAACTGTTTGTAAATGTCCTAAATGTTCTTTTATATTTTTACTGAATACTAAAATATCATCTACATATACTAAAACAAATCTTTTATATTCTCCAAATATTTTATCCATTTTTCTTTGAAATATTGGAGGTGCTGTTTTTAATCCAAATGGCATAACTAACCATTCAAAATGTCCTTCTGGGCAAGTAAATGCAGTCCATTCTACACTATCTGGATGCATTTTTATTTGCCAATATCCTGACTTACAATCGAATTTACTAAAAATTGTTTTACCTTGAATTCTATTTATTAACTCTGTTTTGTCTGGTAATTTATATCCATCTGTTCTAGTATTATCATTTAATCTTTTGTAGTTTATAACCATTCTAGCTTTTCCTCTAACTATTTCGCTATGATTTCTTACCATAAAGGCTGCTGATCTATGTTTTGAAGTTGATCTTCTTATTACTCCTAATTCTAATAATTCTTTAAATTGTATTTTAAAGTCTTCTTGATCTTGATTTGTGGCTTCTATCGCGGCTGTTTTTATTATATATTCTGGGTTTATTATATCTAGTTTGCATACTATTTGATTATTTTCCCAATGTTTTAAAGGTTTTTATCCTATTATTTCTATTTGATCTAATATTTTTACTATATTATCAAGATCCTTTTGATTTTTTATTTGTCCTATTTGCTGAATTCCTGTCTTAAAGTTATATAATTCTGTCTCCATTTCTATTAGAACATAGTTTTTATTAACTATTTCATCTTCTTCATCTATTTCTAGTATATTCTCATATAATGTATTACATTCCTTTTTAATACATTGTATATTGTTTTTACAATTGTCACAACATTTTTCTTTATGTCTTACTTTAGTGTCAATTTTGTTAGTTAAAACTGAAGTATAAGTAGTATTTTTCATAAAAAATATTCCGTCTCTAGTTATTAAAGTTCCTCCTTTGTTGTGTAGTATAAAGTCTAGTCCTAACACAAAATCTACTCTTATATCTATCACGACCCAAATCGTATCGTGAGTGGCACCCACACTTACCCTCCTATGTGAGCGAACCAATCAATCTAAACCCCATCATTTCAAACATAATGAAAAAAATACAATGCGGAAGACTTAAAACTCATTAACGAAATCAATCAATAACTTCTAATATTTATAAATCATTATCCCCAAAATCTGGAAGTCATCACCACAAGAACATCTATCCTCAAATTACTAAATCTAAGAGTATCTAAGAAAGCTAGAAAAAATCAAAAGCTAGTCCATGCCGGAACTTCAAGGCATCAAAACATGAGGAAGAAGATCCAGTCCAAGCTAGTAGCATTAGCTCACCCTGAAATCTGGTGTGATGAAGACTGGCTAGAGTTGCGGTTGAGTTGAAGATGACAGTACGTTTGCTGCACTCCAGAAATAACAAAGAAAGAAACATACAAGTAGGGGTCAGTACAAAACACGAGCACTGAGTAGATATCATCGGCCAGCTCAAAATAGAAAACAGTATATATCAGATGATATCATAAAATCAACTACAATACTCAATAGGTAGCAACAACATGTACAAGAATCTTTGATAAATAACGCCAAGTACACCCATGAGGACTCAAGCCTCCATATCATAATCATTTGGGAAATAGGTTCATTTAATCTGAGTATCTTAGCAAAATTCAAGATTCATTATCTTTATTCCTCTTGTGTCGGAACGTGACACTCCGATCCCCTAATACTACGTGTCGGTTCGTGACACCCAATCCCCCTAATACTATGTGTCGGTTCATGACACCCGATCCCCCTAATACTACGTGTCAGTTCGTGACACCCGATCCCCCTAAAACTACGTGTCGGTTCGTGACACCCGATCCCCCTAATACTACGTATAGGTTCGTGACACCCGATCCATATTCTATCCTGGTGCCGGAACGTGACACCCGATCCTCTAATCTCATTACTATTGTTCATCAAGCCTTCTTTTATACTAAGGCATCATCAATCTCATTGCTTTAGTTCATCAAGCCTTCTCTTATACTAAGGCATCATCAATCTCATTGCTTTAGTTCATCAAGCCTTCTCTTATACCAAGGCATCGTCATTAACAAAGAAGTTTTCAAGATTTAGGATTCAATAGCCTCATCGTGCTTATTTTATCACAATTATATAATCACATTCATGCAAGCATACAATTAAGCATATAGAAGGGTTTACAATACTACCCAATACATATCATTCGCTATTAAGAGTTTTCTATGAAATAGCATAAATCATAACCTACCTCCACCGAAGAATTGAAATCAAGCAAGCTAATCCTCAAAGCTGCGTTTTTCCTCTCTCTTGATCGATCGTTCTCCCTCTCTTTGTTCTTTCTATTTTTCTTATTCAAACCCTCTTTCTTTTACCCTAATTAGCATATAATTAAGTATAAAAGATGATGAATTAACCCATTAATTAATTTAAGGTTATCTCCTTTAACCCTCAAGTAGTTAAATTATTAACATTAACCCACTAAATTTATAATTATAGCAGGAGTAGTCCAAAACGCCCCTTAAAACAATTAATAGAAATCCGACCCAGCCTAGGATTACGCAGCCTGTGACGGCCTGTTGTGCTTGCGACGGTCCGTCCTGCTGCTTCCGTCACAGAGTTCAGAGACTC